GATTGGAGGTGCAGGAGTTGGAACTTGAACCAGGCACTGCACTACAGGATGTAGATGTCCTAAGTGGTGTCTTAACCCTGGCACCAGACACCCACCCCTGCTTTCTCCTTTTGAGCTACAACAAGTGGTAGGTATTTTCTAAATAGAAAATTGTAGTGTGGGCTAGACATGATCTAACCTTATAGCTTATTATTTTACATATATCTTCTCTACCCTTCCAATTTTTAAAATAACACTCATATAATTCAACAGCTTAGTCTTAGAGATGAATACATTTTGGCTGATAGGTCAGTAACATAAGTTTACCCTTAGGTTTAGTAGCAGAGAAAAGATGAACACTGAGTTCTTCTTACCAAGACTCCTTCTTCTTTAAAAACTAAATATTTATTTATTTATTTATTTGAGAGGCAGAGTCACAGACAGAGGGAGAGACAGAGAGAGAGGTCTTCCATCCACTGGTTCACTCCTCAAGTGGCTGCAACAGCTGGAGCTGGGCCAATCTGAGGCCAGGAACCAGGAGCTTATTCCAGGTCTCCCATGCAGGTGCAGGGGGCCCAAGGACTTGGGCCATCTTCTTGTACTGCTTTCCCTGGCCATCTGCAGGGAGCTGGATCAGAAGTGGAGCAGCTGGGACTGGAACTGACACCCACATGGGTTGCCAGTGCCACAGGCAGAGGCTTAACCTACTATAGCACAGTGCTGGCCCCCGATTCATTTCTTTATAATATCTAGTAGAGAAACCCTGTACTGGCCTTGGAAGAGAAGTTGGGAGGTATTTTTATTTTTCAATTTTCTTAAAAACTTTTTATAGAATTCATATTTCTTCCTAAAATATTTGGTAGAATTTACCATTGAAACCATCTGTTTCTGGAGTTTTCTTTGTAGGAAAGTTTAAAAATCTTTAAAAAAAGATCTTTAAAAAATCAAATTTCTTCAATAGATGCAGAGCTATTCAGGTTATCTCTTTTTGGATGAGCTTTGCAAATTTGCATATTTCAAAGAGTCTGTACATTTCATTTACATTGTCAAATTCATGGACATAAAGTTGTTAATATGCCTTTATTATCATTTTAATGTATGTAGAGTTTGTAGTGATATCTCCTCTCTGATTTCTATTACTGGTAACTTAAGTCTTCTTTCTTTTTTTTTTCCTGCCCAGTTGGCAAAAGTTTTGTCAATTTTATCAATATTGTCAAATAAACAGTTGCATTTTAATTGATTTTTCTAGTTTTTGAATTATTTTTTAAGATAAAGATTTTGTGATTTAATATGTACACCCTGATGTTTATAGCTACACATCCACACACACACACACACATAAATGATTGCTACAGTTGAGCAAATTAATGTACCTGTCTCTTCAAATAGTTTGTGGTGAGAGCATTTGAAATCTATTCTCTTAGCAAATTTCCAGGACACAACACAGTTTTATTAACTGTAATCATCATTGCATACATCAGTTTCTAGACTTATTAATTCCACATAATTGTAACTTTGTACCCTTTAACCATTAAGTCTCTGTTTCTTCCATTCCCTTCCCCTTGGTAACCACCATTCTGCCCTCTGCGTCTATGTATTCAACTTTATTAGATTCTACATATGACAGAGAATCATACAGCACTATCTGCCTATATTATATCATTTACCATATAGATTATTCATAGTGTTTATATATTCCCTATATAGAGAGCTATATATGAAGGATATTAAAAAAGTTCATGGGAAATGCACATTGTCTTTTAATTCTGTCTTTCCATGTGTTTTAAGTTGCAGATTATTTGTTTTCCTTTGTTGTATACTTAGGTTGTCTCTGTGTCTTTGCTATTGTGAATAATGCTGCAATGAACACAGACAGGGTCCAGATATCTCTTTGAAGTATTGACTTAATTCCTTTGGGCATACACCCAGAAGAGAGATTGCTGGATATATGTTAGTACCCTGTTGTTTCAATTACTATAGTATTGTAAGATGTGATGGTCCCAACTTTGTTCTTCATTCTTTTTTAAAAATTTTTTTTTATTTTTTAAAGATTTATTTATTTTATCTGAAAGTCATAATTACACAGAGAGAGGAGAGGTAGAGAGAGAAAGGTCTTCCATCCGATGGTTCACTCCCCAGATGGCCGCAATGGCCGGAGCTGCACTGATCCAGAGCCAGGAGCCAGGAGCTTCCTCCTGGTCTCCCATGTAGGTGAGGTGCAGGGGACCAAGGACTCGGGCCATCCTCCACTGCTTCCTCAAGCCATAGCAGAGAGCTGGATCGGAAGTGGAGCAGCCAGGTCTCGAACTGGGCGGATGTCGGTGCTTCAGGCCAGGGCATTAACCTGCTGCGCTACAGCGCCAGCCCCTGTTTTTCATTCTGAAGATTGTTTTGGGTAGTCAGTCTCTGTAGTTACTTAAAAATTTTAAAACGTTTTATTTCTGTGAAGAATGCCATTAGAATTTTGATATAGAGTGTATTGAATCTGTATAATCCTTGAAATAGCTTGAAAATTTTAGCAATGTCAATTCTTCCAATCCATGAAAATGGATTTCTTTTCATTTATTTGTTGTCTTCTTCAGTTTCTTTCATCATTAATATGGAACTTCAAAAAGTTTGTGGAAAATGGAATTAAGATTATCTACTTTGGTGCAAAAAATGTTTGCAATCTATTCATAATTTTATAATGACATGGATTTCCATGAACTTTTCAAACATCCTTCATACACTGTGATGAGAATTGTGATATCTGAAGTCTTTTGAGTCAGTCTTTTAAAAAAATCCTTGTGCTCTTATTTATAGGGACATGATTTGGGCTGACTGTGTTAAATTTATCATATCTGGACACTCTAGAGAATTTCTGTGTTTGCTCCTACTGGAAGTCAAGAGCTCAGCAGATTAGGGTTATCTTCATCTCTGGGAATGTTCTAACAATACAGCAGCCTGAGAATCAGCTCTGTGTTTTTGACAACTCACGGCTGGTCTTCTTGACCTCAGGGTTGATACTGGCCCTTTGACAGTTTAATTTTCTATGTCCGCTTAGTCTTTATGACCTTCTACTCCAATTTTAGCCCTTCTTTCTTTGTAAATATATATATTTACATATATATTTATATGCATATGTATGTATACATATATAAACTATACAGTTTGCTTAACCACATACATTTTCTTTATTTTCTGGTAAGCTCATCAATCATTCATTTTCTGTTTCTTTTAATTAATAAGCCTCTATTTGCATTTAGCAGGTGATGCACCAGAATATCGGGACCACTATCTTGTCTGATGAATATGCCTCTTCGTGGAAAATGCTAATTATCTTTTAATTCCATTTTTGTGATCCTTTTTTCATATGTTGCAGTGCTAAATCTGAAGGGAGCCATTGCCCAAAGTCTGATGAACTCTTTCAGTGTGAAGCAAAATTGACATCGATAAAACAGAATACAACTGTTTCCCTTATCCATGGCAGATACACTCTAGGATGCCCAGAGGATTCATGAAACTACAGGCAGTATCAAACCCTATGAATCCCATGTTGCTATTGTTTCTATTGTACACACATACATACCTGTGATGAAGTGTAATTTATATGTTAGATACAGTAAGAGTTTAACAAGAGTACTTTATCATGGATCTTAGCAACCTCAGCATACAACTTTTTTCTTTCCTTATTAAGTAGAGATCTTTCACTTTTTCATTTAAAGACTCACATTATTGGCTGGCGCTGTGGCTCACTTGGCTAATCCTCCTCCTGTGGCGCCGGCACACCAGGTTCTAGTCCCAGTCGGGGAGCCGGATTCTGTCCTGGTTGCCCCTCTTCCAGGCCAGCTCTCTGCTATGTCCCAGGAGTGCAGTGGAGGATGGCCCAAGTGCTTGGGCCCTGCACCCCATGGGAGACCAGGAGAAGCACCTGTCTCCTGGCTTCGGATCAGTGTGATGCGCCGGCTGCGGCGCGTCCACCGTGGTGGCCATTGGACGGTGAATCAACGGCAAAGGAAGACCTTTCTCTCTGTCTCTCTCTCTCACTGTCCACTATGCCTGTCAAAATAAATAAATAAAAATAAAAAAGACTCACATTATGCCTCCTCTTTGGCATATTTGAATTGCCAGCATCACTACTCTTTTTTTTTTTTTACTGTTTTAAAAAAAATTTATTTACTTATCTGAAAGGCAGGTGACAGAGAGGGAGAGAGGAGTTGGGGGAGAGAAATAGAGATAGAGATAGAGAGAAAAGAAGGAGAAAGAGAGGAAGAGAAAGAGGAAGAGAAAGAAAGAGAAATAGAAGGAGAAGGGAAGGGAAGAGAAGAGATAATCTAAATGCTGGTTCCCTATATAATGGCTGCAAAGGCCAAGACTGGGCCAACTTGAAAAACAGGAGGCCAGAGCTCCATCTGGTCTTCCACATGGGTGGCAGGGACACAAGCACGTGGGCTATTATCTGACACCTTTTCAGGCACATTAGCAGGGAGCTGAATCAGAAGTGTAGCAGCTGGGACTTGAACCAACACTCTGATACGGGATGCTGGCAGCATAAGTGGTGCCTAAACCCACTGTGCCACATTGACCCCAGCATTCCTATTTGTACTCTTTGGGGCCTTTATTAAGTAGAATAAAGGGTTACTCAAACACAAGCCCTGTGCTTCTGTGAGGGTCGATCTGATAACCAAGTTAGCTAAGTGACTAACAGGTGTGAAGCACGCACAACATGGATACACTGGACAAAGGCATGACTCATGTCCCTTGCAGGATGGGGTGGGGTGAGATTCTACCGTGCTACTCAGAGCAGCATGCTATTTGTAACTTATGAATAGTTTATTTCTGGATTATAATTGTGTATTATACTTTAATACTTTCCAGCCACAGTTGACTGTGGGTAACTGAGACTATGGAAAGTGAAACAACAGATAAGGGAGAACCACTATACTGATGTGAGAGCCTGTGCATGTGTGTTACTGGGCATGAATAACATGTTACTGGCATGAGAGTTAAAGACATATGACACCATGAACTTTTCCAGTTTACTTATTATTTTATTGCTGATTTCATTATACTCAGCAGAAATATGGTATTGTAAAGAAGGAAAGGAGTTTTTAGGAAAATAAAACTGCCTATGAATTTACAAACCAGTGTAATTTGTTTGTAGTTTTCAAAAGTTTCTCACATTTCAAAGCAAATGGTGGCTTTTAAGATAATTTTATTAATTAATAGAATGATATGTCAAAATTTAAAAATTTCACAAAACCTCAAGTGCATCAGGCATCTATGACAGGGGAGGCACTGTGACTCATCCAATGACAGTGAGTAAATATTTGCTGATCTGTAAGTATAATTTAGGGCTTACTCCAGTAGCCCACTCCAGGGGCCTTTCTGAATATTCTCATTAACTTTCTGGGTATGATAAACAGTAAGCTACAGAATAAATTGCACACACTGAAGAGTAAGCAGTAAAACAAATTGCACCAATTGCACATGCTGCGCAACACACAAAATAGCAGAATTAACAATCTGACACATAACTGCATACAAAATAAAATCCACGATTGTGTTTTGATTAAGGCTCTTTTTAGACAATTTGCTTGGGCCATGACCATGCAGTATCTCTGCATTTCCATGTACGTTATAAGTTGGCCTTTGAACTCCTTTACTCTCACCTCTGACCCAGCAGATCCACCTTTTGACCCCTGAATTAGGCTGTACAGCTCGTTGGTGTAGTGATCACCCATTGTACCCATCATCAAACTGTCAATCAAGTCCATCAGCTCCTTCACTTGGCTGTCCTGCTCGCTTCCTTCAGCACGGTTATTAAAGGCACAGACTCGCCCCCCACATGCTGCCACCAGCTTGCTTAAGGTACTGTTATCTGAGTCATGGATGTAGTCTGTCAAAGAGCCGCCATCAAGATCTTCCTTGTGGGTAAGGAGGACGATCATGTGTCTCATGGCATCCTCTCCAAAGATCTCCTTCACCCTCTGTACAACCTCCTGGTCCTGGGTGGTGTATCGGCCCAGCTGAGTCACCAGGAGCAGCACATGGGGTCCTGGTGCAGAGAGTAAGTAGCAGCTCTGCACCTCCTCATATAGCGTTTCAGAGAGGTCGTTCCCAGAAAACACATCCGGTGTGTCAATAATGATCATCTCTCTCTCTCCCCAGGACCCCCGGCTTTCACTGCAAGTCTTAGTCAAGGCCTGGGCGCTCAGCCTGGACACAAATGCCTGGTTCCTGAGGATGCTGTTCCCTGTAGCACTTTTGCCGGTTCCTGTTTTGCCCACCAGAATGATTCTCAGCTCTGATCCTCTGGCGTGTTGCCTCTTCATCCAGGGTTCTGTTAGGAACAAGTTCATTGTGTCATTACTATATTGATCAAGGCAAATAATTTTTTAATGATAAAGAGATATTCTATGTTATAGGAAAATGTGCCTTCACAAGCTGTTGTATTTACAAATTAAAACCCATCTCCACTATTAAATAAAATTGACTATGAATTTTGAAGCATTTCAATTTCTCTAGGACTACAGGTTTTACTGTGTCTATTCCTAGAAAACCACACTTGAGGAATGAGATGGACTTAGAAATGTATTTTCATCATATAAAGCTTGCTGGAATCACTTGGTTCTGGCCTATCAAAAGTAAGTTTTTCTGGAGAAGGACAGGGAACTTGACTTGTCCGAGAAACTATGTCAAATCTTCATCCTAAAGGGTTTCATGCAGTACGATGTAACCTGGGGACATCCCAGGGCAAGGAGATAGAATCTTGAGCAGGAGCAGGAGCTTCCCTGCCTCACAGGAACCAATGTCTCCTGTAGTAACTCTGGGGCTAGCTTCTAGCTTCCCTGAAAGAAGAATGAAATTTATGAGGTACTCTGGTCAGAGAAGGCCAAAACATAGCTTCATATCACATATTGGTAGCTCTTCCAGTCTGGAGAATACAGGGGAGAGAGTTATTTTTATCACAAGACAAATGAGAGGGTCTCTAAAACAACCACTCATAAACACTGGGCATATACTAAGAAGTTAAGAGATGGGCAAGTCATTTATAACACAATACTAGAGAAACTTGTAAATCTAACCAAGTGTGGTAAAGAGAAAAGGATTCTTGGGAAAAATAAGCAGATGGCACCCAGAGTCTTGGGGCATGTGTAAACACGGAGACTAGCATCTACCTCCTTTCTGGAGAATTGTACATTAGAAAGTGGGCAGAGCTGCTTAGCAGAGTAGAGCAAGAAGCAAACAGCAGCCCATTCCCTTGTAACAAGTGGTTGCAGCAGGAAACAACATCATCGTCATCTTGATGGTGCCCTGTCTCAAGGGATGTTCAACAATAAGAAGGTTAAAGGGAGACCACCGAGGGGAGGAGTGAGATCTAGTTAAAATCACCAGACAGTGCACCTCTGCTATCCCTGTGAGGCCTCCTCACACTGCACCTCATTTGGATGCCAGCCATGATGAAGTACAGGAAGGCCAGTCAGGATCAGCCAAGAGACAAGTGCAAAGACCCTGGGACTCAAGAGCTTTGTGCTATTTTTCCTGACTAGGAAGAAGGGAATCATGGGAAGGATGAGGACGCAGAGTCTAAGAGAGAGCTGGGTCCTGGGGCTAAGGTGAGGCTGAGCAGAGAAAGGAGAAACCCAAATGGAAGTTTGATATCAGACTGGACTGAGCATCTTGAGCCCTGATAAAAGTGTCTGACTTACTTTAAGAGGAGATGGACCACTTATCAGAAGAAGGAGAGCAAAGGGTCGTGGGAATGGTAGGAGAAATGTCCAGACAGATCTAAAGATCGTGAAGCATGTTTGAATGTGCAGTCTTGTTCCTGATACACTATTCTAGGAGCTTAGACTTACTGGTGACGGTGGTGGGGGCAGTTAGAGTAATGTCCCCGGCCCAGACATCATCAGAAAGAGCAACCATGCACACTCAGGAAGTCACTTTCTTACCAGAGAGACTGTATTCATTTTGGTCCATTGGTGTTCCTGAGGGACAGAGAAACAAGAAACTATTAGTTTCCAGTTTTGATTCATAAAAGACCCTGTATTTCCAGACAACCATGTTTCATTTGTCTACTCATCACTGACAAGTCAGGCGAGAAGAGAATCAATATTCCTATTTTACAGAGAAATTGAGTCCCTCACTTCCAGAGAGTTCAGAAGTGAGGTTAATTGTAAACCTTGCGTCTTATCGTCAAACCCAGGTCTCCCCTGGTTTCCTCCCCCTTTCCTCTCACAAGGGCTCCCCACCCCCTCTGCTTTCCTTGGCCAAGTGCCCTTCTCTTCTCTCAACTTTCTTCCTAGGTGTCCCTCCCCTGGATTGAGGTCCTGTCCCCTCTTTGGTCCTCCTGTTCGTCTCCCCACCTCACTGCCTTCCCCCCAGTTCTCTCTCTCAAAACCCCTCCCTTTGCACTGAGAGTTTGCAGAAAGACTCAGTGAATTAGAAGCGGATTCTGAGAAAGCAGAAGTAAACTTCACTGGGCCTGTCAGTTCAATTTCTTTATTCTCCAGCAGCCGCCGTTGAGGAAGCTCTACAGTTCAGGAACTTTTACCTTGTGGAAGAAATATTCGCTCATTTTCATCACGTAGTTTCAATTTATAACAACACGTGAAGGCTAAAGCTCTTTCCAGTTAGCACCTTTTGTTGGCTTTATGCTGATTAAAACTTTTGCCAGTGATGTGCAAAGTCATTTCATGACGTTATCCCGTAAATGGGCTTTACTTAAGCTTCTGTAATTTGTTTCTCTTAAATTGGGCAAATTTGATCTTGAAAAAAGAAGAAAATTTTCTTGTGTGGCTTTGGATCTAGAAATCAACACTGCAGAGTTTTAGTAGTGTGAACTTACCCGATTTGTTGTCCAAAGAAGCAGATGGTCCTCTGTTAAAAAACTGTGACCTTATAGCTCAGCTCGAAGAGAAAGAGAAAATAAAACAGAAACTCCAGTCTACCTTCTTCCTCTTTTTAACCTCCACTGAACTTCCCAACTGCAAAAGAGCTCAACCACATTCTTGTGTTTGAAATTCTCATTTATGCCATATGTACACACTACACAATTAAAATGTGAAATTTGATCAGAAGTTAATTACTTCCTTGTTGAACAACGATCTTGAACTCTTCTCAACAGTGAAAAAGAGTGTTAGACAGGAAAGAAAGGCAGGGATGCCCAGCAGTTAATAGACGGATTCCTTCTCACCTGGACTGCCTCCTAACAGGGGGAAGTTTACCACTACTACTGTTGTGACAACACACTGTTCTTGCTGGGTGTGTTTTTCTGATTCTCTACTGTGCTTCAACAACAACACAACACTGGAAACTTCCACTTCACATCAGAAATCTGTTCTTGACCATAAAAATTCTCTGTCAAACACGAGTTGGACCTGTTCCCTGTTGTTTTACATGAACAAGAAATATAGTGCAATCAATATAGTGCAATCAATCCCAAAGCCCACCAACTTTCTAAATCATGTATAAAATTCAGTAAGTTTCCCACATACAAGAAAAGCTGTCATTTTGGAATACAAGAAGACATATAATACTTTTAAAATTTTATTTTCATTTTATTTGAAAGACAGAGACACAGAGAGAAAAAGAAAAATCTTCCATCTTCTGTTCCCTCTCCAAATGCCTGCAAAAGCCAGAATTGGGCCAGGTCAAAGCCAGGAACCTGGCACTCCCACGTGTATGATAGGGACCCAAGCACTTGAGTCATCATTTGCTGCCTCCCAGTGTGCTCATTAATAGGAAGCTGGATTGGGAGTGGAGTAGCTTGGGCTTGAACCAGGCATCCTGATGTGGGAGGCAGGCCTCCCAAGTGGGGACTTTTCTGTGCAAACAGTCCCAAAGCAGGTTTTTTTTTAATATAAAAAATACTTATGCTTTATGGGAGAGAGGGAGGGAGAGAGGGAATATAAATTAAATTATTAGAATTGTATGTATAAACTACACTGAATCTGTTAAAAACTAATTAAAATACTCATGCTTTATTAACAAACTTGACATATGTAAGTGGGAATCCAGTTTTCAGAATTAATTAATTATGTGAATCAACAACACAGTGATGTCATTCATCTCATCTCTCTACTGGTGTTTTCAGTGTTGGCTCTGTATTTACTTTGATAGAAAGATGTTTGGGGGCAAGCATGTGGCACAGTGGGCTGAATTGCTGCTTGGGACACTTGCATCCCAAATCAGAGTGCCTGGGATCAAGTCTTGCTTTTGCTTCTGATCCAATTTTCTGTTAATGTGTACCTGGTGGGCACCATACGGTGCCTCAAGTACCTGGGCCCCTGCCACCCACATGGGAGGCCCAGGTTGAGTTCCTAGCTCCTGGCTTTTGCCTGGCCCAACCTAAGCTGTTGCAGGCATTTGAGGAGTGAACGAGTGTATGGAAGTTGCCCTTTTCTCTCCGTCATTCTACCTTTCAAATAAATAAGAAGATAAATAATTAAACTTAAAAATTGTGGAAAAATGAAGTTAAAAGATAAGTTAAAATTAAGAAAGATGGATTTGAAGTTCTGTAAATTATATAGCAATGTCTAGAAGAAGAATTGTGATCTTTACTGCCATTCTTTTTCTAAGGAGAAAGTAAACTTTTGTTGTAGAAAAATACAAAAATAAAAATGATAAATATGTACAGATCTAATAACAGAGCTTAAAAACACAGAAAGCACAAGTTGGCAAAAATAGAGAAATAAATCCACAAGTAAAATTGGTGATTTTAATAACCCTCTTTCAGTAATTTATAGAATAACTTGACAAAAATTTCATAATTTTAGAAGATTGGTATAGCACTGTTAGTCATCTTAATGTAACAGATACTTCTAGAACATTATGTCTTACAACTTCAGAAAACGCATTGTTTTTCAAGTGCACATCAACATTCACGAAGACAGCCTTAAAAATTTGAAATTATTGAAACCATTCAAGGTAAGTTCTCTGACAACAATTAGATTACTTAAGAAATCAAAACTAATATATCGATAGTGAAGGCAGAAAGAAAAGGAAAGAGAGAGAAATAGAAAAGAAGAAACTGTTGAAACGCCTGGGAGAAAAAAATCACAAAAAATATAGAGAAAAAGATGAGTCCTACAACTTGATAATTAAAAAGGACACATAACCTAATAAAATATAATCTAATAAAAATAGACAAAAAATGGAACATTTCAGAAAAGAATGACTGAGAAGCATATATAAATGAGCTTAACATATTTAGTCATCAGGAAAATAGCCCTCAGAATGGTTAAAATAAAAAATAAGAAGGCAATGAGAAAGGATTTTGAGTGCCCAGAGCCCCCAGAAATCGGATGCTTCAACACTTTGGGAAACACCTGGTAGCATCAAGCAACGTGAGCACCAATTTTATTTTAATGAAGTTTGTTCCTGACAATTTAACTTTTTGTGTTGCTATTGAATCTTTTACCTGATTTTCTTTTTCCTTTTTTTTTTTTTTTTTTTGACAGGCAGAGTGGACAGTGAGAGGGAGAGACAGAGAGAAAGGTCTTCCTTTTCCATTGGTTCACCCTCCAATGGCCGCTGCGACTGGCGTGCTGCGGCCGGCACACTGAGCTGATCTGAAGCCAGGAGCCAGGTGCTTCTCCTGGTCTCCATGCGGGTGCAGGGCCCAAGGACCTGGGCAATCTTCCACTGCCCTCCTGGGCCACAGCAGAGAGCTGGACTGGAAGAGGAGCAACCGGGACAGAATCCAGTGCCCCGACCGGGACTAGAACCTGGAGTGCTGGCGCCGCTGGTGAAGGATTAGCCTATTGAGCAGCGGCGCTGGCCTTTTTACCTGATTTTCTAAAGGACTTTTAGGACAAAAAGAGGAAGACAACAAATTTTCTTTCTTCTTTTTTTTTTTTTAAAGATTTATTTATTTATTTGAAAGTCAGAGTCACACAGAGACAGGAGAGGCAGAGAGAGAGAGAGAGAGAGAGAGAGAGAGAGAGAGAAGGAGGTCTTCCATCTGATGGTTCACTCCCCAATTGGCCGTTCCAAAGCCAGGAGCGAGGAGCTTCTTCTGGGTCTCCCACGCGGGTACAGACTTGGACCATCTTCCACTGTTTTCCCAGGCCATCACAGAGAGCTGGATACGAAATGGAGCAGCCGGGTCTTGAACCGGTGCCCATATGGAATGATGGCTCTTCAGGCTGGGGCATTAACCTGCTGCAACACAGTGCTGGCCCTAACATATTTTAATAAATAAATTTTATGATTTACTTATTTCAATATTTCTTAAAAATATTTTTATTCCTTTTGATTGTTTTAGACTTTCTAGGATTATCATTGACTTGGCTGCAAATAATAAGTTTACCTCCCTATTTCCAAAAGTATTTTGAAATATATTTTTAATATTTTTTCTCATATGTAACATTCATTGTTTACTTTTTAAGAAGTGAGCTGATGTTGTGTTTTTAGCTTTTACTTTAATTGTGAGGCACTTGTTATCACTGATATTGATGCTAGTCATTGGCAATTAATTATTTAACTTATTTAAATATTAACTTAGATATACCTTGTTTAGTTCTGTTTCAATAAAGGCTTAAATTTGGAAAATGTTCTTTCATATTTATTGAGATAGTCCATGATATTTCTTTTAATCTACTAATACTAGAATTTATGTTAATGAGTTTCTTAATATGTGTGTGTGCTGTGTGTGTGCGTGTGTGTGCACATGTTTGTATGTGTGTGTGCACATCTGTGCATGCATGTGCGTGTGTATGTGCATGTGTGTGCACATGTGTGCATGTTTGTGTTGCATGTTTGTGTGTGCACATGTTTGTGTGTCTGCACATGTGTGCATGTGCGTGAGTGTTTGTGCGCGTGCATGTTTGTGTGTGCACATGTGTGCGTGTGTGTGTGTGTGTGTGTGTGTGAAGGTTGGGTTTCAAGACTGCAGACCATTGAGACAGAGATCAAGTGGAGATGGAGAGGTTTATTAGGAAGTCCCCTCGGGATTCACACCTGAGGGAAAACGCAGGTTAGGCAGAGAGGAGCTGGACTGAGACATGGGCACATCAAATGTCTACTCCACGGGGAACTTTAATATCTGTATGGGCCTTCAACGTTAATGTGAGTGGGTTGGGCTTTATAATCCCCATTGACCTGTCAGTAGCTGTAAACTTCCCTGGGAAAGATACTTGACCTAAGGCATCTCTTTTCAGCAGAAGCTAATTTCTACACAGGGCTGACAGCTGTAAAGCTGAAGACTAACTGCTGGCAGCATGGTAACAGCTGGGAGCACAGGTTCTACTGTTTTTATTACTTTTTAATATTTACCTGATTTATCTGAAAGCAAAGTAACAGAGAAAAAGGCAGAAACACACACACACACACACTCACAGGAAGAGAGAGATCTTCTATATACTGGTCCACTCCCCAATTGGCCACCATAACCAGGGTTGGGCCAGGCTGAAGTCAGGAGCCTGGGGGCTCCATTCAGGTCTCCTGTGTGAGTGCAGGAGTCCAAGTACTTGGGCCATCTTCCGCTGCTTTCCAAGGCACATTGACAGGAAGCTGGATGGGAAAC